GAGCCATTAACCTCCACACAGTGCCATTAACCTCCACACAGTGCCATTAACCTCCACACAGTGCCATTAACCTCCCACACAGTGCCATTAACCTCACAGTGCCATTAACCTCCCCAGAGCCATTAACCTCCACACAGTGCCATTAACCTCCCCACACAGAGCCATTAACCTCCCCACAGTGCCATTAACCTCCACACAGTGCCATTAACCTCCACACAGTGCCATTAACCTCCACACAGTGCCATTAACCTCCACACAGTGCCATTAACCTCCACACAGTGCCATTAACCTCCCCACAGAGCCATTAACCTCCACAGTGCCATTAACCTCCACACAGTGCCATTAACCTCCACAGTGCCATTAACCTCCCCACATTGCCATTAACCTCCCCACAGAGCCATTAACCTCCCACACAGTGCCATTAACCTCCACACAGTGCCATTAACCTCCCCACAGAGCCATTAACCTCCACAGAGCCATTAACCTCCCCACAGAGCCATTAACTCTTTCCTGTCGCCTTGAACTGAGTCATTGTTAACAGTGCCATGTTGAGGTCTGACTGACTGTCCCGGAGTATTTGTGACTGACAGGTGGCTGACTGACTGACCTTGACTGTCCCCAGGTGGCTGACTGACTGACGGGTGGCTGACTGACTGACTGACTGGCCAGGTGGCTGACTGACTGTCGGAGTGGCTGACTGACTGACGGAGTGGCTGACTGACTGACTGACTGTCAGGTGGCTGACTGACTGACTGGCTGACAGCACATACATAATCCAGAAAACTTACACACACACACACACACACGGGGGTAAAATAATTGACAGCCTGAGTGTATGTATGTATGTATGTATGTGTGTATGTATGTATGTATGTATGTATGTATGTATGTTCCTCTACCATACATGTACCCCACAACACAGTATTACACCCTGCACGCAACACCACAACACTATCTCCCGCAAAACTACACTCCCACACGCACTTTTTCTCGCTCGTGTGTGTGTAAGTCTGTATATCTTGTGTATAGATCATACACAATGTAGCATTTCGCGTAGTGTGTATTTTGCCTTGATAGAAAGCGAATTGGCGAGCGTGAATTGGCGAGCGTGAATTGGCGAGCGTGAATTGGCGAGTGTGAATTGGTGAGTGTGAATTGGCGAGCGTGAATTGGCGAGTGTGAATTGGCGAGCGTGAATTGGCGAGCGTGAATTGGCGAGTGTGAATTGGCGAGTGTGAATTGGCGAGCGTGAATTGGCGAGTGTGAATTGGTGAGTGTGAATTGGCGAGCGAATTAAGGAGTGCACCTGGCAGGAGTGTGGACTAAGGAGTGTGAATTATGAGGTGAATTGGCGAGTGTGAATTAAGGAGTGTGAATTGGCGAGTGGAATTAAGGAGTGTGGTTCATGAGTGTGAATTGGCGAGCGTGAATTAGTGAGCGTGAATTGCGCGAGGATCTGGTGGTCCTGGGGTTGGACTTGCGTTTCCAGCTCTATGACTGCAGACCATCAGGGAGGGGGGAATTGGTTTGTAATGGTTGCGGTGGTAGTTTAGAGACGGGTGGTTTACTTACTCCAAACAAGCGCTCTGGTGATTGGTGGTGGTGGTGGTAATAGTCTGTACCGTTTGTTGGTAATGATGTCAAGGGTGAGGTATCGTGTGCGTGTGTAAGCCATTCTCTTTGTGTACGTGTGTGTGTGTATGTATGTGTACGTGTTCCCTTCATAAGAGTACATGTGCATTTTTATGTGCACCCATGTACGACTGTGTATACCACGCCACTTCATACAATCATCCTCGCTCGTGTACACACATTGTATAAAAGTGTACATGTGCGTGTGTGCGTACGTGGGCGCGGGCGTGTGTGTGGGCACTGGGACGTGTAGGTGTACGTGAGGGTACGTGCGGGATTTTACGTACATGACATCTTGTATACGCACATGTCTTCTGTTTATGTACATAATATCCCTGTGTACGTATGGACTAGTGGTGAAATTACGTACAGTAGAGTGGGTGTACATGGAGAAGGAGTGAGGGAGATAGTGGTGGTGATAGTGGTGATGATGGTGGTGATGGTGGTGGTGGTGATGGTGGTGGTGGTGATGGTGGTGATGGTGGTGGTGATGGTGTTGGTGGTGGTGATGGTGGTAGTCATTGATGATAGTGGTGGTGATAGTGGTGGTGGTGATGGTGGTGGTGGTGATGGTGGTGGTGGTGATGGTAGTAATTGGTGATGGTGATAGTGGTGGTGATGGTGATAGTGGTGGTGGTGGTGATGTCGTGATAGTGGTGGTGGTGATGGTATTGGTGATAGTGGTGGTGGTGATGGTGTTGGTGGTGATGGTGATAGTGGTGGTGATGGTGATGAGTGGTGGTGATGATGGGTGGTGATGGTGGTGGTGGTGATGGTAGTGAGTGGTGATGGTGATGGTGGTGGTGATGGCAGTGGTGATGGTGGTGTGGTGGTGGTGATAGTGGTGGTGGTGGTGATGGTGATGGTGAGGTGGTGATGGCGGTGGTGATGAGTGGTGGTGGTGGTGATGGTGATGGTGGTGGTGATGGTGGTGGTGGTGGTGGTGGTGATGGTGTTGAGTGGTGATGGTGGTGGTGGTGGTGGTGGTGGTGATGGTGGTGGTGATGGTGGTGGTGATGGTGGTGGTGGTGATGGTGGTGGTGGTGATGGTGGTGGTTGGTTGATGGCCGGTGGTGGTGGTGGTGGTGGTGGTGTGGTGGTGATGGTGGTGGTGGTGATGGTGGTGGTGGTGGTGGTGATAGTGGTGGTGATAGCGGTGGTGAGTGGTGGTGGTGGTGGTGATGGTGGTGGTGATGGTGGTGGTGGTAGTGGTGGTGATAGTGGTAGTGGTGATAGTGGTAGTAGTGGTGGTAGTGGTGGTAGTGGTGATGGTGGTGATAGTGATAGTGGTGGTGAAGAGGAAAGGGGAAGTGAGGAGAAAGAACTACTACTACTACTATTGATCTACACCACCGTAGTTATGCCAGGATAATATCAGTACCTCACCGTAGTTATAAACACTCGTAGTTTACACGTAGTTTAAATAATTATGTGGACGTAGTTTTTGGCGCGTGATTTCCTGTTTGGGGCGTGGTTACTGCCCCTCCCTCCCCCCGTGTGTATGTGTGTAAAATCCCATATAATTCCTGGCACCATTCCTGTTACCAAACCTATATTATTCCTGGCACCATTACTAATCTTTTCTCCCTTCTTTCTGGCACTATTCCTAGCCCTTCCATTAAACACCTCATCCAAACCCTAAGATCTCGTAAAATAGACATGGCACTATTCACGGCATAATTCCTGGAGCTATTTCTCGCCACGTTAGTACCCCCTCCCTCCCACACCCCCATCCCTCCCTTTGAGGCACTATTCCTCGAGGTTAAGTAACTTGGAATCGTTGTGTGTGTGTGTGTGATTAATGGGGAGACACAGACAGACAGACAGACAGACAGACAGAGGGAACTAACAGCTTTCATAACAGTAATACACAAATCGATCACATAAGCCACGTTCCCATTACAGCATGAAGTCTCACTCGGTACAGAATACAAACCTACAATTACGTTATTATAAAATATTTTAATAGACAAAATAAACTAAAACAAAAGTCTATCAAGATTTTTGTTTATAAAAGGATTTTGGTGGAATTAGTATGGGATTGTGTTTGTAAATTGTGTGTAAGTGGTTGTAAAAATGTGTGGGTGTTGGGTGATTGTAGGTTAGGTTAGGTTAAAAAGTATTCGCTGACCAGTACAATATCATGTTTCTCAGCGAGTTAAATCATCATACTCAGGGGTTAAATCATCATACTCAAGGGGTTAAATCATCATACTCAAGGGGTTAAATCATCATACTCAATGGGTTAAATCATCATACTCAAGGGGTTAAATCATCATACTCAATGGGTAAGTCATCATACTCAGGGGTTAAATCATCATACTCAAGGGGTTAAATCATCATACTCAGGGGTTAAATCATCATACTCAAGGGGTTAAATCATCATACTCAAGGAGTTAAATCATCATACTCAAGAGGTTAAATCATCATACTCAGGGGTTAAATCATCATACTCAAGGGTTAAATCATCATACTCAAAGGGTTAAATCATCATACTCAATGGGTTAAATCATCTACTCAAAGGGTTAATCCATCATACTCAAAGGGTTAAATCATCATACTCAAAGGTTAAATCATCATACTCAAGGGGTTAAATCATCATACTCAATGGGTTAAATCATCATACTCAAGAGGTTAAATCATCATACTCAGGGGTTAAATCATCATACTCAAAGGGTTAAATCATCATACTCAGGGGTTAAATCATCATACTCAAAGGGTTAAATCATCATACTCAAGGGGTTAAATCATCATACTCAATGGGTTAAATCATCATACTCAAGAGGTTAAATCATCATACTCAGGGGTTAAATCATCATACTCAAAGGGTTAAATCATCATACTCAATGGGTTAAATCATCATACTCAATGGGTTAAATCATCATACTCAAAGGGTTAAATCATCATACTCAAAGGGTTAAATCATCATACTCAAGGTGTTTGTGGGTCGTATTCCTGATATCTGATACGAGGGCCAAGGTGTGTGTGTGTGTGAAAGCCAATACAGTGTGTGACTGGTACTTTCCGCCTAGAGTCTGTATTGAACGGGGACTGTATTTCGTGTTTTAGAAGGTCAGTATGTGTGTTTGTCCCGTTTTTTGTATCATATTTGGGTCTGTTTTCCTGTTTTTCGGGTGTAGGTTAGTAAGCAGCTATCAAACAGGGAGGTACTACCGCCTGGGAAGATATTGGAAGCATAATGGTTGACCCTGTGACCAAATCTCAGGTTATTTCCCCTAATATTTATGATTATTTCCCATATTTCCCATAGCATTAATGCCCGTCTTTCTGTCTCTTTTCATATTCATGCTTATTCTTCAATTTTCCTTTGTTTTCGGAGTTTAGTTATATTGTTTTATTTTTTTCAGAATTTCTTTAAGAAGATGAAAAGCAAACCGGGTGCCAGTGTCAAGATAACAAATAAGGGAACTACAAAATCCGACAAACTTTCCAAAAATAGCGACCTGTAAGTATACTAGCGACCTGTAAGTATACTAGCGACCTGTAAGTATACTAGCGACCTGTAGGTATATATCGACCTGTAAGTATACTATCGACCTGTAAGTATACTATCGACCTGTAAGTATACTAGCGACCTGTAAGTATACTAGCGACCTGTAAGTATACTAGCGACCTGTAGGTATATATCGACCTGTAAGTATACTATCGACCTGTAAGTATAATAGCGACCTGTAAGTATAATAGCGACCTGTAAGTATATATCGACCTGTAAGTATATATCGACCTGTAAGTATATCGACCTGTAAGTATACTAGCGACCTGTAAGTATACTAGCGACCTGTAAGTATACTAGTGACCTGTAAGTATACTAGTGACCTGTAAAGTATACTATCGACCTGTAAGTATACTAGCGACCTGTAAGTATATATCGACCTGTAAGTATACTAGCGACCTGTAAGTATACTAGCGACCTGTAAGTATACTAGCGACCTGTAAAGTATACTAGCGACCTGTAAGTATACTAGCGACCTGTAAGTATACTAGCGACCTGTAAATATAATAGCGACCTGTAAATATAATAGTTTAAAGACTTTTATACTTTTATATAACCTGTGAAATATATAGTTTTGATGTGATATAGGATTTTAGATGAAGGCTTGTTAATATTGGTTAATTTAGTTCCCCTGATCACCTGAGGATTAGCTCCCCCAAGTGGTTACCTGAAAATTAACACCTTAATCAGTAAACCAGAGTCCAATTATCCGGTGACCTGTTATCCGGTGTCCAGTTATCCGGTGTCCAGTTATCCGGTGTCCAGTTATCCGGTGTCCAGTTATCCGGTGTCCAGTTATCCGGTGACCAGTTATCCGGTGTCCAGTTATCCGGTGTCCAGTTATCCGGTGTCAGTTATCCGGTGTCCAGTTATCCCGTGTCCAGTTATCCGTCGTCCAGTTATCCCGTGTCCAGTTATCCGGTGTCCAGTTATTCGGTGTCCAGTTATCCGGTGACCGTTATCCGGTACCAGTTATCCGGTGACCAGTTATCCGGTGACCAGTTATCCGGTGTCAGTTATCCGGTGACCAGTTATCCGGTGTCCAGTTATCCGGTGACAGTTATCCGGTGTCCAGTTATCCGGTGTCGGTTATCCGGTGACCAGTTATCCGGTGACCAGTTATCCGGTGTCCAGTTATCGGTGTCCAGTTATCCGTGTCCAGTTATCCGGTGTCCAGTTATCCACCCACCACTGACACCCCCATCCCTATATACTTACAGTACAAGCGAGACAACAACAATGGCAATGTTCCTTTGGCTAGATGTCACTCCCACCCGAACCTACAGGCACCTTGTCACCCGGCAGACCCATGCGCCCACCCTCCCCCTTCATTGGTAAGTTGGTAGTCCCTATTCAGTCCCTATTGAATGGCTATTTAGTGGTCATAGTCCCTATTAGTCCCCGTGATTCCCTCTTAGTCCCACGCTGCACGCCCCTTAGTGCTGGTCTGCACGCCTCCTATTACTGGTCTGCACGCCCCTTAGTACTGGTCTGCGCCCCTTAGTACTGGTCTGCACGCCCCTAGTACTGGTCTGCACGCCCCTTGGTACTGGTCTGCACGCCCCTAGTACTGGTCTGCACGCCCTAGTACTGGTCTGCCCGCCCCTTAGTACTCCGTCTGCCCGCCCCTTAGTACTGGTCTGACCGCCCCCTTAGTACTGGTCTGCCCGCCCCTTAGTACTGGTCTGCCCGCCCCTTAGTACTGGTCTGCACGCCTTAGTACTGGTCTGCACGCCCCTAGTACTGGTCTGCACGCTCCTTAGTACTGGTCTGCAAGCCCTTAGTACTGGTCTGCACGCCCCTTAGTACTGGTCTGCCCGCCCCTTAGTACTGGTCTGCCCGCCCCTAGTACTGGTCTGCACGCCCTTAGTACTGGTCTGCACGCCTCTAGTAACTGGTCAGCACGCCCCTTAGTACTGGTCTGCACGCCCCAGTACTGGTCTGCACGCCCCTTAGTACTGGTCAGCACGCCCCCAGTACTGGTCTGCACGCCCCCAGTACTGGTCTGCACGCCTTAGTACTGGTCTGCACGCCTCCTAGTAACTGGTCTGCACGCCCCTTAGTACCGGTCTGCACGCCCTCACTGGTCTGCACGCCTCAGTACTGGTCTGTACGCCCTTAGTACTGGTCTGCACGCCCCTTAGTATGGTCTGCACGCCCTAGTACTGGTCTGCACGCCCCTTAGTACTGGTCTGCACGCCTCAGTACTGGTCTGCACGCCTCCTTAGTACTGGTCTGCACGCCCCCTTAGTACTGGTCTGCACGCCCCTTGGTACTGGTCTGCACGCCCCTGGTACTGGTCTGCACGCCCCCTGGTACTGGTCTGCACGCCCTTGGTACTGGTCTGCACGCCCCCTGGTACTGGTCTGCACGCCCCTTGGTATGGTCTGCACGCCCTTAGTACTGGTCTGCACGCCCTAGTACTGGTCTGCACGCCCTTAGTACTGGTCTGCACGCCCCTTAGTACTGGTCTGCACGCCCCTTAGTACTGGTCTGCACGCCCCTTAGTACTGGTCTGCACGCCTCAGTACTGGTCTGCACGCCCTTAGTACTGGTCTGCACGCCCCTTAGTACTGGTCTGCACGCCCTCAGTACTGGTCTGCACGCCCCTAGTACTGGTCTGCACGCCCCTTAGTACTGGTCTCACGCCCCTTAGTACTGGTCTGCGCCTTAGTACTGGTCTGCACGCCCTTAGTACTGGTCTGCACGCCCCTTAGTACTGGTCTGCACGCCCCTTAGTACTGGTCTGCACGCCCCTTAGTACTGGTCTGCACGCCCCTTAGTACTGGTCTGCACGCCCCTTAGTACTGGTCTGCACGCCCCTAGTACTGGTCTGCACGCCCCTTAGTACTGGTCTGCACGCCCCCTTAGTACTGGTCTGCACGCCCCCTTGGTACTGGTCTGCACGCCCTGGTACTGGTCTGCACGCCCCTTGGTACTGGTCTGCACGCCCTGGTACTGGTCTGCACGCCCTTGGTACTGGTCTGCACGCCTGGTACTGGTCTGCACGCCCCTGGTACTGGTCTGCACGCCCCAGTACTGCAGGGTCCACGCCCCCTAGTACTGGTCTGCACGCCCCCAGTACTGGTCTGCACGCCCCTAGTACTGGCACGCCTGGCTGCACGCCCTCCTGTAGGAGGAGGGATGAAGGGGAAGGAGATCAATGTGTCTTTTTGTAATCAATTCTGTTTTTTTCAGCGCCAGGAGTCAAGAGAATCAAGACGAAAGAAGACGGAAAGAAAACACGCTTAAAATATGGGTCATGGAAGCTAAAGGCATCCCCAGCAAGAAGAAGTAAGTGTCTTATACTACTGCTACTTTTTTTAATGGCCTCCAGCCTCCCCCAATAGCTACACCTTCGCCACCATTTAATTACCTTCATATTAAATATCCTAATATATAAGTAGCTATCCTATCTGTGTTGAGTTAGTTGAGCAGCAGATCATGCGGCATTCAGTGACTGTTGCCTCATAGACAACATCTGCAGCAGTTGTCGGAGTTAGCAAAGCTCTGTTCCCTTGAGGCAGAGCAAAGCCGACGAGAGAGGACAGTCGACATCTCATCCAGGCGTAACATAACTTCTGGGCTGCTGCTTCTGTTGGAGATCACCTCCGCTAGTCTGGCGTAGAAGCATCTTGCACTTGGTCCCATCCCACCAGAGGTTGTGAACACTAGAGGAGTGAAGCTGCCTTGATCAACGTTTTGAATTCTTTCCCCATATGCCCTTATCTTGTCGTTCTCGTTCCTCCTGTGCAGCATCGAGAGCTAGGTTACGGTGACATGCGCCATGGGATCAAAATCCTGATGTCGAAGAAGGCTCGCTGTCCCCGCGTCCAGAATCCTCGAGCACTGACGTCAACACCGGCATTGTTAGATGTGTTGGAAGATCTCACCATCCAATGGAAGGAGGGTCGGTTCTACCATGACATCACGGCAGATTTCCTTCAACATATTTGCTGTGAGATCCCTTACCTCGCTGCCTCATGCATATGAAGCCCCCTTTCTTGCACATCATGGCGTGATCGACGTCATAGGAAGTGCCACACACGCATTGGGAGGGCAAACCTTCTACTGGCCAACCGTACCTTAGAGCAGTGGCATCTGTAAATTCTTGTTTATTGAGGCTGAAACCATTTGCCCTTATCAGTAACGTAGTTAACCAGTTTGAGGCGCCCACCTCCTGCGCTATAGCTACTTTTTTTCTTTAAATTCTCTGGTACTTGCAGCAACAGTTGCTGCAACTTATCACTTTGGCAGTGCTGTCGTTCTGCCGTATTGGACCTTCGAATCTTGTTTATTTCACTAGTATCCACCTCCCCTGTTGCGTTCTGAGCAATTATGTGGTCCGTGAGGGCTGCCGTGAGCTTAACTGAGTTTTGATGTTCGGTGGCAGCAATCTCCTCTGGATTGGTCAATCCCATTCCTCCCAGTCTCGGTGGTAGTGCAAGGAGTGCTCTTTCTGCTGGGGTTAAGTGGGGGTGTTTACTAATTTGGGAATGAAATTGACGCGATAGCTTTCTTCCAGAGGGTGGAGGAGGGTCTGATATCAGGGATAGTACGATCAGGTAGTTCCAGCGATGCTTGACTCCATGGGTGAATGCTGCAGAGCCGATGTGGCTCTGTGTTAGAATCTCAGACAGAGCTTGGATTCCTAACCCACTCATTCACCTTCCGCCACGACTGGTCTTGAAGTCCGTCGCGTTTATTACGCGCCTAGATGTCTGTGGCCGTCCAGTTATTTTGACCTCACTACTACTACTATTACTAGATTATCTTAGTTTTATTATGAAATTTCTCAAAATGTATAGATACTCTTTTGGTACGAGTGTTGATGTTATACATTCTAACCCCCCTCCCACAGGTATTACTGTATTCTCAGCCTTAATGAGGAGCTGTACCATACGTGTTCGAAACAGAATTCGAACATGTGCTTTTGGGGTGAACACTTTGAGCTGAACCCGCCCTCAGAGGTAAGATTTATATCCCAGTTTTTAGTCACTTACACCTGGTACAATGTTTGGTGAGTTTTCAGCGATGTGGCACCACTGTGTTTGTTTACATGGTATTAAAACACATACAGTCACTTGCATTTACACCTGGTACAGAGTCTGGTATGTTTTCTGAGATGTGGCACCACTGTGTTTGTTTATGTTGCATTAAAACTCTCAGAATGGCCCTCAGGAACCTCACAATAGCAGCTATATTAAAGCTGCCAAATAAACAAACACATCCTTGCCACATCTCAACAAAAACCCACAATCACTGTACCAGGTGTAAATGCAAGTTACTGTACATTTAAGAATTCCTGCCAGATTAAATTAATTCCACAATAATGCTGAATGATTTAATGCTGCTTTGACAGAGAGAGAGAGAGAGAGAGACTCTTAAGAATCTATATTATTGAACGTCAGTCCTAACCCAACCCAACCCAGTACCACCACTCACTCCACCAATTCTTCCCCAGGTGTCCAAGATCTGTATTGAACTTATTAGAGAGGCGGATAAGAAAACGACTCGCAAGAAGATCGGGGCGGTGGAAATTGATCTTGAACCATCTAGCCCCAGTCGAGTAAGTTTTGACGAGCAGTGGTACCAGCTGAGGGTAGAAGGGAAGGAAAGAGAACCACCAGCTCTCAGAATTAAGCACAGGTTCGTGATTGTAGGGATATATGAGGTCATTGTTATTTGTTATTATTGGTATTAAAAGTCATCATTGTTATTATTAAATATTCATTATCATTATTTTCAACATTATTGTCATTATCATCGTCATCGATATTATTTTATGGATATTTTCAACGTCTCTTTACCATTCCATTCTTGACCTGCTCTTAGGTCGCACCCTCCAACACTGATCATGTCACCCAGGCAGCAGAACTCATCCATGACTCATAACACAGCAGCCTTCAGCACCCCCTCCAGCACTGATCATGTCACCCAGGCAGCAGAACTCATCCATGACTCACAACACAGCAGCCTTCAGCACCCCCTCCAACACTGATCATGTCACCCAGGCAGCAGAACTCATTCCCAGACAACTAATTTCATTTTGTCTATGTCATTTTACTCTCAAGGCCCCTGACTATTCCACCCTCCGATTGCTTGAGTTCTTCCACTGTCTCTTCAACACTAAATCATCAGTCTAAAAGAACTCCCCAGAGCAGGTGAGGTGCTCAAGACACACCCACGATTGACACTCGCCTTGAAATTCTCTTACTATTCTCACAGAGGGATTTAAATCCTCATATAATGCCATAACTACCCGAACAAGGTATTTCTCAACGTATAACTTTCTCACTACTGGCTTGACTACTTCCCACGATACCCTGTTCAAGCATTTCTAAATATGATGCACAAATCTCTCTTCTGTAATCAGTTTGTTGATATTTGCTCACAAGACGAACCTAACCTAACCTTTGTGAGTATTTGTCTCGTGAGCAAATGTCAACACGCTCCACTAATGAACAGACACCAAATAATATCTTTCTTCCGTAGATTCCAATCAGTCGACATCTTGCCACTGTCCCAATATGGAGACTTCCGCCAGTACCTCAAGGAAAACTCCATATCACTCTGTCAGCTGCTAGAACCGGTTGTGCCCGTCAAAGTCAAGGAAGAGATTAGGAACATCCTCATCAACATCATGCAAGCGGAGAACTGTGCCATACCCTTCCTGGTAGATCTTGTGACCGCTGATATCCAGAGAAAGTGTGAGTTTTGTTATTTAACCTAACCTAACCCCAAAATAACCTAACTTAACCTAACCTAACCCAACCCTAAAATAACCTAACCTAACCAAAACGAACCAAACCAATGTTATGTAAAAATGTTGGATTAGTCTTTTCATGAGTGTTTTAAAAAGGGTGTTTAAAAAATACAGCTAATGTGTATCGTTTATTTACATATATATTTATATTATTTATGCACTTGTTTACACACGCTACCTCATTTACATATATTTACAGCCGAGAGCGAACACCTTCGTGGGAACAGCGTCGCCACAAAGGCTATTGAAGCTTACATGAAACTTGTAGGTGAACAGTACCTCCACGACACCTTAGGAGATCCCATCTGTGAGCTCATCACTCTCGGGGAAGACCTGGAAGTGGATCCTCTACGCAACACCGACGACCAATCCAAACTCGCCCGACAAAAGGCTTTAAAAGATCGAGTCTCTGTGATATGGGAGAGAATTCTTCGGTCCGATCGATCTTTTCCTGTGTAAGTTTTGTCCTGATTGGTTTATTTTTGTTTGTTTTTTGGAGGAGGGGGGATTTTGTGATTTGTATTGTCACTTGCATTTCTACCTGGTATAGTGGCTGATGTGTTTTGTGACATGTGGCAATGCTGTGTGTGTTTACATCATATTAAAACACTCTGAATGGGCCTTAGGAACCTTACAATAGTACCCAGACTAAAAGAATGCCTGATAAACAAACACAGTATTGCTACATGTCACAAAACACACCAGTCACTGTACCAGGTGTAAATGCAAGTGACTGTACAATATAGGTATCAACAATAATTACAAACACACTTCATATGTACAGTTGCAGTCAATAATTCACTCACTAGGGAATGAGTCTCCAAACTGACTTACCCTGACTGTCATCTGGTGTGTGTGTTGTTGGGGGTGTATAGTACTTCAGTTTAGAAAGGAGTGAACTTTGACCCCAAGTGTGCACTGATAGAATCAATATATCATCCTGGGGTTTCGATGAATATATTTTAAACTGTTGAACCATTCGACACATACATGTAGTCTCGGTAAAGCTTTCTGTATAGTCCTCCAGGTTTTACTATATTTAGTGCCAAAGTTCAGACGATATTTCATTCAGTCTTCAGTTACCAACAGAGCTCCCTGTTGCCTCTAATCTTGGATCATGAACTCCAGGACGGATTCAAACTTGTGAATCTGAAGCATTTATGGACAGAATCATGTATCGATCCACTGCTTCGAGGGTCCACTGCTTCGAGGGTTCACTGCTTCGAGGGTTCACTGCTTCGGTGATTCACTGCTTCGAGGGTTTGCAACTGAATCTTAGTGTTCGTGAAACAGCAAGAGAGGCGACGGGTCTTTTGTGGGTGACTGTACAATAACATACAATATGAATACAAAGAGGAATTACCACTACATCTTAGGTTAGTGTTAGGTAAGGTAAGGTAAGGTATGTTAGGTTAGTGTTAGGTTAAGTTCGGTTAGGTGTAGTGTTAGGTAAGGTTAGTGTTAGGTTAGGTAAGGTAAGGTAAGGTTAGTGTTAGGTTAAGTTCGGTTAGGTTAGGTTAGTGTTAGGTAAGGTTAGTGTTAGGTTAGTAGTAAGGTAAGGTTAGTGTTAGGTTGGGAGGTTAGGTTAGTGTAGTAAGGTAAGTAAGGTAAGGTTAGTGTTTTGTTCGGTTAGAGTTAAGTTAGTGTTAGTTAGTAAGGTATAATTAGTGTTAGTTTCGTTAGTGTAGGTAAGGTTAGTGTAGTGTAAGTAAGGTAAGGTTAGTAGGTTAAGTTCGGTTAGGTTAGGTTAGTGTTGGTAAGGTTAGTGTTAGGTTAGTAAGGTAAGGTAGGTAAGGTTAGTGTTAGGTTAAGTTCGGTTAGGTTAGGTTAGTGTTAGTAGTTAGTGTTAGGTTGTAGTAAGGTAAGGTTAGTGTTAGTTAAGTTCGGTTAGTTAGGTTAGTGTTGTGAGTTAGTGTTAGGTTAGGTAAGGTAGAAGGTTAGTGTTAGGTTAAGTTCGGTTAGGTTAGTTAGTGTTAGGTAGGTTAGTGTTAGGTTAGGTAATGTAAGGTAAGGTTAGTGTTAGGTTAAGTTCGGTTAGGTTAGGTTAGTGTAGAAGTTGTTAGGTTAAAGGTATAAGTTAGTGTTAGGTTAGGTGGTGTTAGGTAAGGTTAGTGTTAGGTTAGGTAAGGTAAGGTAAGGTAAGGTTAGTGTTAGGTAAGGTATGGTTAGGTTAGGTTAGTGTTAGGTAAGGTTAGTGTTAGGTTAGGTAAGGTAAGGTAAGGTAAGGTTAGTGTTAGGTTAAGGTAAGGTAAGGTTAGTGTTAGGTAAGGTATGGTTAGGTTAGGTTTGTGTTAGGTTAGTGTTAGGGTTAGGTAAGGTATGGTTAGGTTAGGTTTTATCACACATTAACACCATTACACTTGCTCTCCTCTAGTGAGCTTCACACGATTCCAATAAGTCACGAGACACACACCTACACACACCTGATTCACTCCACACAGGCAGACACACACACTACACACACTGATTCACCACACAGGCAGATACACACACTTACACACACACTGATTCACCCACACAGGCAGACACACACACTACACACACTGATTCACCCACACACACACACACACACACACACACACACACACAAACAACTTAAGGCCCCCAGAGCTACTAAGACCACCCCCATGCCACTCTCAGTCCCAGACCTCCATAAAATATCCCAGGAACAAAACTGACCCCATCCCAGCAAAGACTCCGCTCCCTTCCTTTAAATCTCTTAAAAAATAACTATTATCTTAGTATTAATATTTTTTGTAATACTTATTTTTTTTGTAACCACCAAAATTATTATATTATATTTTGTTACTTAGATAAAATTGCTATTACATTAATCACAATTACTGGAGACATATAACTAACAGCTCTGTCCTCTTGTTCAACCTTAAATTGCTTTCCTTCCTTATAATAATAATTGTATATTAACTCCACTGTAAAATATATGTATATACTTAATAAAAAAAATAAATAATAATGGTGTGTTTCAGATTACTGTATAACAATCCACCAATCACGTCTTGTCTTCTAGAGTACTGTATAACAATCCACCAATCACGTCTTGTCTTCTAGAGTACTGTATAACAATCCACCAATCACGTCTTGTCTTCTAGAGTACTGTATCACAATCCACCAATCATATCGCATGTCAAAGCACCATATGACAATCCACCAATCACCTCTTGTCTTCTAGAGCACCGTATGACAATCCACCAATCACATCTTGTTTTTCAGAGTATCCGGATGAGCGAGCTGGCAGGAACTTGACACTGGTGGCCAAAACGCTTCAGACTCTCGCTAACTTTGCCTGTTTCGAAGCCAAAGAAATTTTTATGGAATTCTTAAACGACTTCATTGAAAAGGAGAAAGAACAGTGTAGAAAATTCTTAAGATCAATTTCTGTGAGTTATTCTGTGTGTTTTCTGTGAGTTATTTATTTTCTGTGAGTTTTTCTGTGAGTTTTCTGAGAGTTTTTCTGTGAGCATTCATTTTCAGAGTTTTTCTGTGAGCATTCATTTTCAGACAATTTTTCAAGTAGTTTTTCTGTGAGCATTCATTTTCTGTGAGTTTTTCTGAGAGTTTTTTATGTTCTGTGAGTTTTCAGTTTGTGAGTTTGAAGAAAAGTATAACAACATTTGTTTATGGTCTGTGGTATATAGAATTGATCTTTGTTAGTATAATAATTGGTTGTTTTTCAGTCTATCAGCCAGTATAATTGTTCTCCAGTCTATCAGGCATAATTAATTTCCTCACACTCACTAGACATATCTAACTCAGCCTAACCTAACCTAACCTACTCCCAACCTAACCCACAGAGTCCTCTCACTAAGGAGGACAGCACCTTGGGTTTATGGCAAGATTGACCTCGGGAAGCACCTGGCCTTACTACACCTGCACCTGAGTGATGCCCTCGCTAAGATTGACACACAGGTGAGATGAAGCCATTGTTACGAGTTCGCTCCTGGTTGGATAGTTTGAGTACCTTTGTAATGTCCCCTTTGTTTAGTCCTGACTTCCATTTATACACCTCTATGTATCGCCCACCTCTCGCTCTCGAGGAGTGCAAATTAAGATGCTTTAACCTGTCTCTGTACTCAAGGTTCCTAATGCCCGGGATTAGTCTTGTCATTCTCCTCTGGATTCTTTCTAAGGATTCTTTATCCATTCTGTAATATGGTGACCAGAACTGAACTGCGTAATCCAAGTGAGGTGAAATATCCTAGATAGGGAGCATTATAACATGGGGTTCAATAGGGTATGTTCCCAGCCAGTCCCCAAACAGATATGTATCACCGACGGAAAATTTCCTACAATACTCTTATCAGTTCAAAACAAGTAAACAAGATTCACCACATCCTGAAGAATAAGTCTGGTCATCATGTCCTTTTCAAGGCTCAGGGGAATCTCATGGTGCTTAACAATGCCAATCTTCACCTCAGAGACACTGTTGTCCTGGATGCCTTCAACTTCCCAGACATTTCCAAAATTACGATGATGACAAATACAATGATGGTGGCCGACACTGCTCACATTATCACAACAACAGAGTCACCATACAGTCACAAAAACACCATAAATATCACTTCATATTCACATAACACAGTTCAGTCTAAATGGCTTACAATGGACATAAAAGACCGGCTGTAGTCTGCAGGTTGGCTGTGTGGCGTCTAAGTGAGTAAGCTGACAAGTGGCAAAATGCCTGGTACAGTACATAGGTTTAAATAGTGTTCCCTTATAAAACTCACTGTACTGTATTTAAATGTATTCTGTAGAGAAGCTGTATTAACCATTGTATCCAACAAGTAAGAAATTATAGGTTAAATTCTTTCACTGGGTGTTTTTTGGGTGAGTTAGCCAGTGCAGTTAGTGACCTGTCCTGTATACCTGGGATTAATCTTTCTGGCTATGGGTTAGTTCACCAAGAAGAATGTGGTATGATGATGGGAGAAGGAAGGACATAGGAAGGACATAGGGAGGACATGCTATGTTTATGTATATAATGTGTATGTACAGTGTATATGGGAATGTATAATAATAATAATAATAATAATAATAATAATTAACGGTTTATTGAAAAAGTTCTGCAGCTGAAGGCTGAAAATATACATTGGACATAAATGACTTATTACATACATTGGTGGTTTAAAGCCTTCATTAGAAAGGTAAAGGAACATACAGTGAACATACAGATTAATGTAGGTTGAACAGCAAACTCATAGTGATAACTCCTCCCAGATGGTGTTAGAGGACCTCCGTGTGTAGTAATTCGCAGATGGTGTTATGAGGGACCCGCGTGGTGTAGTAATTCCTCACAGATGGTGTTATGGGGACCTCACGTGATGTAATTACCTCACAGATGGTGTTATGAGGGTCCTCGTGGTGTAGTAATCCCTCACAGATGGTGTTATTAGGGACCTGACGTGGTGTGGTAATTCCCTCACAGATGGTGTTATGAGGGACCTGACGTGTGTAGTAATTCCCTCACAGATGGTGTTATGGAGGGGCCTCACGTGGTGAAGTATTCTTACAGATGGTGTTATGAGGGTCTTCACGTGGTGTAGTAATTCCCTCACAGATGGTGTGATGAGGGACTTGATGTGGTGTAGTAATTCCTCACAGATGGTGATGAGGACCTCCGTGGTGTAGTAATTCCCTCACAGATGGTGTGATGAGGGACTTGACGTGGTGTAGTAATTCCCTCACATATGGTGTTATGAGGGACATGTGGTGTAGTAATTCCCTCACAGATGGTGTTATATAGTGAGGTTTGGTCCCAGGCCTTCCTATCGTAGGCGGATTAACACATGATTGGTTGTTGTTGGGTCTCGCGGGGCCGTTATCACTGGGTACCTGGGACCTCACTGTGGGAAGGTTAACTTAGATACGACTGTTACTGAGTTGTTCTCACTGACTTAAGCACTGTTCACCACTGTTCACCTCTGTTTAACACTGGTTCCGTTCCTTTCCTAAATGAAATTGTAACTGGCGAGAACTTGTTGATATTCCGGTGGGGAGGAGGGTTCAGGGGAGGGGGTTGGTATGGGCCAACTTAACAGTTGACCTGGCTGCTCGAGAGGCGCCAGGTGATCTTGACCCTTCGGTGGTCAAGGATGTATATGTATATGAATTACTTAATTTTTATCCATATTTCAGGGTTACAAGAGTGAGGCTAGTAGAGTATTAGCACTAGTCGACGACATAAGTAAGTACCTAGGAAACGACCAGAAGCCGACCAGTGGACATCAACCAGTGGCTACACCAGCCCGTATGTCTACACCGGCCATGTCTACACCAGCCCATATGTCTACACCGACGCACATGTCTACACCAGCCCATATGTCTACACCGGCCATGTCTACACCAGCCCATATGTCTACACCGACGCACATGTCTACACCGACTCCATATGTCTACACACGACGCACATAGCCAATAGTTACCAGTAAGTTGCTTGTTTAATAGTTACTTTAGATAGATACTGTAGATATAGATAATTTAGATATAGATACTGTACATATACTGTAGATACTTTAGATAGATATCCACCATAATTTACTCCTACATTGCTACAGGCGAAGACACAGTCGATAATACAATCAACATGGGGGTACCAGGTGGTGCGAGGCAGTCTACAGTCAGTGATCTCGCCCGGGCACAGTCAGTCTCAAGCAGCTGCGGCAGTCTGTTGTCAACACCAGAGGGTATGACGTGGTGGTGGTTGTTGTTGTGGGGAGGAAGTGTTAGGAGAGGGAAGGATTGGGGTACTGGAGGAAGGATTGGGGTACTGGAGGGTGTGTTAGGGAGGGAAGGATTGGGGTACTGGAGGAAGGATTGGGGTACTGGAGGAGTGTTAGGGGAGGGAAGGATTGGGGTACTGGAGGGGAGTGTTAGGGGAGGGAATGATTGGGGTACTGGAGGGAAGGTTTGGGGTACTGGAGGGAAGGATTGGGGTACTGGAGGGGAGTGTTAGGGGAGGGAAGGATTGGGGTACTGGAGGGAAGGATTGGGGTACTAGAGGGGAGTGTTAGGTTAGGTTAGTGTTAGGTTGTAATCTAATAGACCCTCTATATAATGAACTCTCCTCATAGTCCAGTAAATCGAGGTTTCACAACAAATAGCAAAATGACTTATTAATTTCTATCAATTTTACAGCAAGTCAGTGGCAGCCCGGGACTAAACTTTTCATACCGGGACAAAAACGCATCGAACGACCTGTACACTAACGATGATTACGTCCTGATTACGGCTTTCGACCATCAGACGGAACCAGAGAACTTCATGTTTCCATCTGTGTACGTCTCTCTCTCTCTCTCTCTCTCTCTCTCTCTCTCTCTCTCTCTCTCTCTCTCTCTTTGCAGCCATCTGTCAGTTATTACATAAATACAGTATTACCATAGCTGAAAATAATTGTAAGCTTAGATTAAGATTTTTTGCCAGCTTAGATGAAAATAATTATAAGCTTAGATCAATTTTGGGAGGTCAAGCTTAGAAAAATAATGCAAGCTTAGATCAATTTTGGAAGGACAAGCTTAGAAAAATAATTACAAGCTTAGATCAATTTTGGGAGGACAAGCTTAGAAAAGTAATTACAAGCTTAGATCAATTTTGGGAGGACAAGCTTAGAAAAATAATTACAAGCTTAGATCAATTTTGGGAGGACAAGCTTAGAAAAATAATTACAAGCTTAGATCGATTTAGAGGACAAACTTCGATAAAAAATATATCCCATATTTACAAATCTTTACAGCGAGGCAAACAACAATAACATTCAGCTGCAAGACGTCAACCAGATCAACGGCAATACGTGTTACATGACTGAGGGGTCGACTGGATCACCTTTTCGTCAGGGAGGGTTTACGGGGCAACCTCACTCTGCCGCCGCCCACCAGCAGCAGCCTGTGAGAGGTCATCTATATCAACCTCCTCGGCTCCTTCCTAGGTACGTTGGGTGGGTTGGGTGGGGTGTGGAGGTGGGTTGGGTGGGGTGTGGAGGTGGGTGTGTTTTGTTGGGGTACAGTATAATATAATCTGACTGGTACCTTTTATAACATTACACTCATAACAATATACCTGTATTTGCTAAGTGAAATAATGTTCCAAAATTACAACAACCAATGATTTACCTTCTATAAATAACCAATTAATTCTTTTCGATTTAGTAAAGATTATAATTTATTTACTAATGATTCATACAGTACAGGTAGCTATATATATATTAACTAGTGATTGTGTATAAAATATTAGTGGTATTTATTTGATTTTATGACCATTATAGAAGCACGGCATTGGCGTCGAGGAGCCATTCCGTCACTGGGTTACCGACGCCTATGGAAAGACACGGTTTGTATCACGACGAATGCTCTGAGTTATACCGCTATATGGATTCCTGCTCGCACCAGATACACGCCTTGTGTATGGAGAGTGAGAACAACACTCAGGGCTCCCAGACGTCGATCTCCCAGCTGTCGAATATCGCCTCATCGGGATACCAGAGCTTCGCCTATTCCCAGTCTTCCTCCCCTGTTGATCCCCTCCTACACACTGACAATTCGAGCTTGTTGTCTCGTGAGAATGGGAATCCTGGTGTACTGGGGTTGAGACAAGTTCTCCACGCGTCCCCTTTAGGTGAGTTTTCAATATATCAAAGCTTTTATATTTCGATCAGATTTGTGATATTTAAATGCATTTTTTGACTTGCTATGTTCATCAATCAAAGCTTAAGATATTATATGCTAGCTTATAGGGATAAAATGCCTTATCAATCGCTGGAGTAATTGCTCACTTCCCTCTATCACCCTGTAATGGAGTTATTTGATATCTTCCTTCCCAATCAACAGTGATTATGCTTGTTAATCTGCTTATGTGTGTGTGTGTGGTTGTTTCCTGTAGCCTCGCCTCTGCATCTCCCAGCTACCACCACTAGGCATCGCGCCGTGGCTGTACATCTGGCTTACTTAGGTCACGCCGGTCACGTGTCGCTTCATGGTACGCCTAGACACAATCCCAAAGTCACTCAGCCTCAAGGTACATTGTGGACCTTCTGTAATGCCCCTGAGTATAGTACAGTAATTCAGTGTCCCATCTATGCTGTAGTTAGATTATATACCTCTACGTGAAGTAATTATATATGAAACAAAAATGACTAAGTTATTATCCATAAATGCTAGTATACTATTAAGTAGACATCAAATAGCTTATAGTAATAGGAGACGCGGGTATTGATTGTCACTTCCTACTTGTTGTGGTACGAAGGCGGTCCGTATAGCAGCCTCAGCACCTCCCAGAGTGTAGAGGACCTCACGTCCCTAAGTCGAGGCCGCACACGCCAACGCCGCTCTGCTTCATCCTCTTCCGATTCCTCCCCTGACTCCCGACCTTCCTCACGCTCTCACGCCCATTCTCGCCGCCCCCACGCCCACCCTCCCCGCTCCAATCCCCACTGCTCTCCTTGCTTGGCACCGTCTCCCGCGTTGAGGCAGGAGCTAAGAGCCAGATCACATCATGAGCGGAGCATTAGCGGAAGAAGGGGAAGGAATTATAGGTGAGTCGACGTCTGCCAACACATGTAGAAGTTATACCAATGGAAGTATTATGTTGCTTATATAATTATGCCTCTCAAACCTTATATAATTGAAGCTTAATTATGCCTCTCAGATCTCATATAATTGAAGCTTAATTATGCCTCTCAGAGCTCATATAACTGAAGCATTATGTGAACATTTATCATCACATCTCATAAAAAACATCTTATATATTACAGATAAAACTTGATAGAACAAGTGTGTATTTCTTGACACTTTCTAGTACAGGTATAAGATAAATCCTTAACTACTTTTGTATGGATGCCCCTGTAGTGAAGATGTTGGTAAGTCTACTATATGGTCACCTTTAACCAAATATAAAGTGTCCCTGTGAATGTAGTGGTGATAGTCTACTAACACCTTATGTATGGGGTCACCTCTGTTGTTAACCAAATATTAAAAGTGTCGTCCCTGTAGTGAAGATGTTAGTGGTGATAGTCTACTAACACCTTATGTATGGGGTCACCTCTGTTGTTAACCAAATATTAAAAGTGTCGTCCCTGTAGTGAAGATGTTAGTGGTGATAGTCTACTAACACCTTATGTATGGGGTCACCTCTGTTGTTAACCAAATATTAAAAGTGTCGTCCCTGTAGTGAAGATGTTAGTGGTGATAGTCTACTCACACCTTATGTATGGGGTTACCTCTGTTGTTAACCAAATATTAAAAGTGTCGTCCCTGTAGTGAAGGTGTTAGTGGTGATAGTCTACTAACACCTTGTGTTTGGGGTCACCTCTGTTGTTAACCAAATATTAAAAGTGTCGTCCCTGTAGTGAAGATGTTAGTGGTGATAGTCTACTCACACCTTATGTATGGGGTCACCTCTGTTGTTAACCAAATATTAAAAGTGTCGTCCCTGTAGTGAAGGTGTTAGTGGTGATAGTCTACTAACACCTTGTGTTTGGGGTCACCTCTGTTGTTAACCAAATATTAAAAGTGTCGTCCCTGTAGTGAAGGTGTTAGTGGTGATAGTCTACTAACACCTTGTGTATGGGGTCACCTCTGTTGTTAACCAAATATTAAAAGTGTCGTCCCTGTAGTGAAGATGTTAGTGGTGATAGTCTACTCACACCTTATGTATGGGGTCACCTCTGTTGTTAACCAAATATTAAAAGTGTCGTCCCTGTAGTGAAGATGTTAGTGGTGATAGTCTACTAACACCTTATGTATGGGGTCACCTCTGTTGTTAACCAAATATTAAAAGTGTCGTCCCTGTAGTGAAGATGTTAGTGGTGATAGTCTACTAACACCTTGTGTATGGGGTCACCTCTGTTGTTAACCAAATATTAAAAGTGTCGTCCCTGTAGTGAAGGTGTTAGTGGTGATAGTCTACTAACACCTTGTGTATGGGGTCACCTCTGTTGTTAACCAAATATTAAAAGTGTCGTCCCTGTAGTGAAGGTGTTAGTGGTGATAGTCTACTAACACCTTGTGTATGGGGTCACCTCTGTTGTTAACCAAATATTAAAAGTGTCGTCCCTGTAGTGAAGGTGTTAGTGGTGATAGTCTACTAACACCTTGTGTATGGGGTCACCTCTGTTGTTAACCATATATTAAAAGTGTCGTAGTGAAGGTGTTAGTGGTGATAGTCTACTAACACCTTGTGTATGGGGTCGTTGTTAACCAAATATTAAAAGTGTCCCTGTAGTGAAGGTGTTAGTGGTGATAGTCTACTAACACCTTGTGTATGGGGTCACCTCTGTTGTTAACCAAATAT